TAATAATACATTGGACAAATAATAAATTTTAAAATTCTTAGTTCTTTGGCAGAATAGTTTGTTGGTGGGTTGTGTGAAGGACCTGTCTAGCTGGGCCAGTGGGCCTGCTGCAGTGTTCCCTTTCTCATGAGTCGCTCGTCAGGTGTTGCTTTGTTGTGGGATGTGATAGTGAGGTGTGGGCTAGACCCTTTATATGCCTTCCTTTGATGCATTACTTTCATTGTTCCTTGATAATGTGACTAGTCACGAAAGCGCTTGGAATTTCTCTATTCTTTCACAGTGGTTGTTTTGCATATTCTGAAATCACCTGTTTACTGTGATCTTATTGCATGCATGCATATATATATTATATATATATATATATATATATATATAATATATATATATATAATATGTATATATATGTATATATATGTATATATATGTATATATATTATATATATATATATATATATATATATATATATTATATATATATATATATATATATATATGTCGTGCCGAATAGGCAGAACTTGCTATCTTGGCTTAAATAGCAACGTTCATCTTGCCATATAGGACAAGTGAAAATTTGTGTATGCGATAATTTCACCAAAATCATTCTGAACCTAACGAAAAAAATATATTTCACTGTGTTTGTTTAGTATTAAATTATTGTAAACAAATCTAAAATATATTTAGTTGAGTTACGCTAAAATAAATTGTTCTTGTTATAATAAGGTTAGGTAAGTTTTCTAAGATTCTTTTGGTGCAAAATTAAAAAATTTTACATTAACAATAATGAAAAAAATATATCTTTAAACGTATAAGAGAAAATTTTAGAAAGGACTTAATTTTAAATGAGTTCTTGCTAATTGACCAGTTTTACATATTCGGCACGACATATATATATATATATATATATATATATATATATATATATATATATATATATATATATATATATATATATATATATATATATATATATATATATATATATATATGCACATGTATATGTGATTGGGGGTTGAGGGAGAACCTGGAGTTTACCTGGAGAGGCTGTTGGGGGCAACGCCCCCGTGGCTGGGTCTGAGACCAGGCTTCATGGTGGATCAGGGTCTGATCAACCAGGCTGTTACTGCTGGCCACACGCAAACTGATGTGCGAACCACAGCCCAGTTGATCAGGTACTGACTTCAATGCCCGTCCAGTGACTTCTTGAAGACAGCCAGTTGTCTATTGCTAATCCCCGTTATGTATGATGGAGGCAATTGAATAATCTTGGGTCCCGGATACGTATTGTGTTGTCTCTCAGTGTTCTCGTGGCGCCCCTGCATTTCATCGGGGGAATGTTGCATCTCCTGCCGAGTCTTTTGCTTTCATATGGAGCGATTTTCGTGTGTAGGCTTGGTACCAACCCCTCCAGGACCTTCCTGGTGTATATTATCATGTATCTCTCGCCTGCATTCCAGGGAATACAGATCAATGACCTTCAACCGTTCCCAGTAGCTTAGGTGCCTTATCATACTTATGTGTGCCATGAAAGTTCTTTGCACACTCTCCAGGTCAGCAATGTCGCCAGCCTTGAAGGTGGCCGTTAGTGTACAGCAGTATTCCAGCCTAGAGAGCACAAGCGATTTGAAGAGAATCATGAGCTTGGCATCCCTAGTTTTGAAGGTTCTCATTATCCATCCTGTCCTTTTCCTAGCGGATGAGGTAGATACATTGTTGTGGTCTTTGAAGGTGAGATCCTCTGACATTATCAATTCTAGGTCCTTCACATTAGTTTTTCTCTCTATTGAATGGTTAGAATTTGTTGTATACCCTGATACATTTTTAATTTCCTCAAGGTTTCTATATCTGAGTAGTTGAAATTTCTCCTCATTGAACTTCATATTGTTCTGAGTGGCCCATTCGAAGATTTGGTTGATGTCCACTTGGAGTCTCGCAGTGTCTTCGATGGAGGTCACTGTCATGGTGATCCAGGTGTCATCCGCAAAGGAAGACATGGAGCTATGGCTGACATCTCTGTGTCAGAAATGAGGATGAGGAATAGAATGGGAGCGAGTACTGTGCCTTGTGGAACAGAGCTTTTCACCGTTGCTACCTCGGACTTTACTCTGTTTACTATTACTCTTTGTGTTCTATTTATCAGGAAGTTATAGATCCATCTACCAACGTTTCCTGTTATTCCTTTATCACACATTTTATGCGTTATTACACCATGGTCACACTTGTCGAAAGCTTTTGCAAAGTCTGTGTATACTACATCTGTATTTTGTTTATCCTCGACAGCATCCAGGACCTTGTCATAGTGGTCCAGCAGCTGGGACAAGCATGAGCGACCTGCTCTAAACCCGTGTCGCCACGGGTTGTGTAATTGATGGGTATCTAGGTGGTTGGCGATCTTGCTTCTTAGAACCCTCTCAAAGATTTTTATGATATGGGATCTTAGTGCTATCAGTCTGTAGTTCTTTGCAATTGCTGTACTGCCACCTTTGTGGAGTGGGGCTATGTCTGTTGTTTTTTAGTGAGTTCGGGATGACCCCTGTGGTCATGCTCCCTCTCCATAAAATGCTAAAGGCATGCGATAGGGGCTTCTTGCAGTTTTTGATGAACACAGAGTTCCATGAGTCTGGGTCTGGGGCAGAGTGCATTGGCATGTCATTTATTGCCTTTTCAAAGTCTTGTGGAGCTAGGAAAATATCCGAGATTTTTGAGATGACCAAACTTTTGGTCTCATTCATAAAGAATTCATTTGGATTGTCGAACCTTAGTCTGGGCAGGGGCTCGCTGAACACCGAGTCATATTGGGACTTTAGTATCTCATTTTTTGGCTGTCATCTGTGTATGTCCCATCCCAACTGGATGTTGTTTTTCCTGTAGATTTGGCAAAAGAGAAGCATTTTTTTTCAAATTCATTTATGGCTTTTGGTTCTTCCTGTGATTCCTGTCTCCTGTAAGATTTCTTCAGCTTAGGTTCGATATTTGCAATTTCACTAACCAGTGCCTCCCTTCGTATTTCAGATATATTGGCCCCTCTCAACAGCTCTGTGACTCTTCACCTTTGTCTGTATAGGAGCATCTCTCTCTTTCTAGTTTACATCTTCTCTTTCTTTTTCTTAATGGGATGAGTCTTGGGCAGATCTCAAGATTCACAGAGTTCATTTTTTTCTCAGCAAATGTTCGGATCCGTGTTGTTTAGAATATTTTCCCAGCTTGTTTCATTTAGGACATGGTTGACTTGATCCCATTGTATTTTTTTGTTACTGAAATTGACTTATCACATTTTGCTCGTCAGGAGCCCTGTGCATACATGTCAGTATCTCTATTATGTTGTGATCTGAGTGTATTGTCTTTGATACGGTTATATTACGTATCACATCGTCGTTCTTAGTGAAGATGAGGTTCAGTGTATTTTCAAGTCTTGTAGGCTCTAGTATTTGCTGGTTTGAGGTGAATTTGGTGCAGAAATTGAGCAGTTCGTGTGTGTGTGAATTTTCATCTGAGCTGCCTCCTGTGGTGATCTCTGCTGAAACATTGTTTGCTATAATCCTCTATTTTAGGTGTCTCAAGTTGAAATCTCCTAGTGGTAAGATATTTGGGGCAGGAGTTGGGAGATTTTCCAGAGACTGGTCAATTTTCTGAAGCTGCTCCTGGAATTGCTGGGAAGTTGCGTCTGGGTTGGGGGATTGTATAGTTGTGTAGAGAACGCAGTAAAGGAGTGGAAACCAAGGCGAGGAACACTAAAATTTGCTAGTCAGTGTTTTTAGCCACTGAATTATGAAGGCTGTAATAAATTTCCTAACAAATAGAACACAAAAAGTAATAGTCAACAGAGTAAAGTCTGAGGCAGCTACGGAGAAAAACTCTGTTCCACAAGGCACAGTACTCGCTCCCATCTTGTTTCTCATCCTCATATCGGACATAGACAAGGATATAAGCCACAGCACCATATCTTCCTTTGCAGATGATACCCAAATTTGCATGACAGTGTCCTCCATTGTGGACACTGCAAGGCTCCAGGTGGACATCAACTAAATCTTTAAATGGGCTGCAGAAAACAATGTGAAGTATAATGATGAGAAATTTCAATTACTCCGATATGGTAAACATGAGGAAATTAAAACTTCATCGGAGTATAAAACAAATTCCAGCCACAAAATAGAGCAAGAAACTAACGTCAAAGACCTGGGAGTGATCATGTCGGATGATCTCACCTTCAAGGACCATAACATTGTATTAATTACATCTGCTAGAAAAATGAGAGGATGGATAATGAGAACCTTCAAAACCATGGATGCCAAGCCCATGATGACACTCTTCAGGTCACTTGTTCTATCTAGGCTGGAATATTGCTGCACACTAACAGCACTTTTCAAGGCAGGTGAAACTGCTGACCTAGAAAATGTACAGAGAACCTTCATGGCGCGCATAATGGAGATAAAACACCTCAATTACTGGGAGCGCTTGAAGTTCCTGAACATGTACTCCCTAGAATGCAGGAGACAGAGATATATGATTACATACACCTGGAAAATCCCAGTGGGACTAGTACCAAACTTGCACAAGAAAATCACTTCCTTCGAAAGCAAAAAACTCGGCAGACGATGCAACATTCCCCCAATGAAAAGCAGGGATGTCACTAGCAAGATACGAAACATCACAATAAGTGTCAGGGGCCCAAGATTGTTCAACTCCCTCCCAGCATACATCAGGGGGATTACCAATAGACCCCTGGCTGTCTTCAAACTGGCACTAGACAGGCACCTAAAGTCAGTACCTGACCTTGCCGGGCTGTGGTTCGTACTTTGGGTTATGTGAGGCCAGCAGTAACAGCCTGGCTGATCAGGCCCTGATCCACCATGAGGCCAGGTCACAGACCGGGCCTCGGGGGCGTTGACCCCCAGAACTCTCTCCAGGTATACTCCAGGTAAGTAGCCATATTTATACACTAAAAATATTACTATATATCTCAATACCGCAATAAACATTTGGCGTTTATAATGATGTTCCAGAATCTAGTGCGTTGGCTGAACGTGGAGCCGTTCCAAGAAGTGTCTCACAGAAGTGCTCGGGCATACCTTTTGCTAATATGGACCGCCACTTCTTTGGCTCCTACTCCTGTTCCTCTCAGGACAGCACTGGGGCCGAAGTGTCGGGGCTTCATATTATCTCTATATGCAAGGAAGGTATAAAATACCGACAATATGAAAGTTAAGACACATGTGCAACATCTGGATATCTTTATTGTAGACGTTTCGCCATCCAGTGGCTTTATCAATACAGATTCTAGGACATAATTGGAAGACAGTAGAACTATATACAATAGATGAGGTAATCAGTCCCTCAGCCTTGGAGTTAGTGTTCACAGCATCGTGGTGGAGGAGAATCTGGAGCAAAGGCAGTTCAGAGGACATCTACAAGACCTTCTTCATGGCTGCTACAACTAACCCATCTCTTTGGGAAGGACCTACTACCACTGGGGAATCCCACCTACCAGTGACTATGTCCTCGTCTGCTGCCCGTCCTTATCCACTGACGCCTATATAACCGCCAGTCTTCTTGCCTTTGCTCCAGATTCTCCACCACCACGATGCTGTGAACACTAACTCCAAGGCTGAGGGACTGATTACCTCATCTATTATATATAGTTCTACTGTCTTCTAATTATGTCCTAGAATCTGTATTGATAAAGCCACTGGATGGCGAAACGTTTACAATAAAGATACCCAGATGTTGGACATGTGTCTTAACTTTCATATTGTCTCTATGTGTTCAGATGGCTTTACTGTTTTCTCAACAACTTCAGGTAAACATATCTTACACACGAGGAAAATTTACTTTAGATTTAAAAGCTAAAAATGTTTATATCATTATTTTGGAAAGTAATATGTATTCATAACCTTAGAAATTTGAGAATTATGTGATCACTGCCCATACCCAATCTTGTGTGTCCACTACTGTTCCCAGTCTCATTTCTTCATTGCTACCCATTCCCAGTTTCATGTGTCCAGCACTGTTTATTCCCAGTTTCATGTATCCAGCATTATCCATTCTGTTTCATGTATCCAGCATTATCCATTCTGTTTCATGTATCCAGCATTATCCATTCTGTTTCATGTATCCAGCACTATCCATTCTGTTTCATGTATCCAGCATTATCCATTCTGTTTCATGTATCCAGCATTATCCATTCTGTTTCATGTGCCAGCACTATTCATTCTGTTTCATGTATCCAGCATTATCCATTCTGTTTCATGTGTCCAGCACTATCCATTCTGTTTTATGTATCCAGCATTATCCATTCTGTTTCATGTATCCAGCATTATCCATTCTGTTTCATGTATCCAGCACTATCCAATTCTGTTTTATGTATCCAGTTATCCATTTTGTTTCATGATCCAGGGCCCATCCATTCTGTTTCATGTATTCCAGCATTATCCATTCTGTTTCATGTGTCCAGCACATCCATTCTGTTTTATGTTCCAGCCCCTTATCCATTCTGTTTCATGATCCGTATTATCCATTCTGTTTTTAGATATCCAGCATTATCCAAATTTTGTTTCATGTATCCGCATTTTCCATTCTTTTCATGTATCCACACTATCCATTCTGTTTATGTATCCACATTATCCATTCTGTTTCATGTATCCAGCAATATCCATTCTGTTTCATGTATCCAGATTACATTCTGTTTCATGTGTCCAGCACTATCCATTCTGTTTAAGTATCAGCATTAAACCATCGTTTCCCGTATCCATATTATCCTTCTGTTTCAGTATCAGCATTACCATTCTGTTTCATGTAAAAAGGGATTATCCATTCTGTTTTTGTATCCAGCATTATCCATTCTGTTTCATGTGTCCACCACTATCCATTCGTTCATGTATCCAGCATTATCCATTCTGTTTCATGTATCCAGCACTATCCATTCTGTTTTATGTATCCACATTATCCATTGTTTCATGTATCCAGCACTATCCATTCTGTTTCAAGACCAGCATTATCCATTCGTTTCATGTGCCACACTATCCATTCTGTTTTTTTATCCAGCATTTTCCATTCTGTTTCATGTACCAGTTTTTATCCATTCTGTTTCATGTATCCAGCATTATCCCTCGTTTTTATGTGTCCGCACTATCCATTCTGTTTTTTATCCAGCATTATCCTTCTGTTCATGTATCCAGCATATCCATTCTGTTTCATGATCGAAATTTTCCATTCTGTTTCATATCCAGCATTATCCATTCTGTTTCATTTTATCCCCCACTATCCATTCTGTTTCATGTATTTCCCGCATTAAACATTTTTGTTTCAAATTTTCCAGCATTATCCATTCTGTTTACATGTGTCCACCACCCACCAATCTGTTTCATGTACCAGCATTATCCATTTTTTCATGTTTTCCAGCACTATCCATCTGTTTTATGTATCCAGCAAATTTTCCATTCTGTTCATGTATCCAGCAAATATTCCATTCTGTTTCATGTATCCCGCATTATCCATCTGTTTCATGTGTCAGCACTATCATTCTGTTATTATGTACCAGCATTATCCCTTCTGTTTATGTATCCAGGGAATTTTCCATTCTGTTCATGTATCCAGCATTATCCATTCGTTTCATGTTCCAGCACTATCCATTCTGTTTTAAGTTCCGCATTATCATCTGTTTCATGTATCCACATTATCCTCTGTTTCATTATCCACATTTCCATTCTGTTTCATGTACCACATTACCATTCTGTTTAGGTCCACCACTATCCATTCTGTTTCTTATCCACATTATCCATTCTGTTTCAAAGTATCCCGCACTATCCTTCTGTTTTTTGTATCCACATTATCCTTTTTTTTTCATGTACCGCACTTCCTTCTGTTTCATGTACCCGCATTATCCATTTTGTTTCATGGGTCCCGCCACCATTCTGTTTTTTTGTATCCAGCTTTTCCATTTGTTTCATGTATCCGCATTATCCATTTCTGTTTCATGTGTCCACCATATTATTACCACTGTGCAGCATATTTATCTGCTGTTTTTCAGCAAAATCCATCCTGGTGTATAAAATATTCTCCATCCCAAGCATCGTGTGCCCAGCAACGTCTTTTCTCAGTTTTATGTGTCCAGCAGCATCCATTTCCAGTCTCGTGTCCAGAACAATCTATCCCAAATCTTGTGTCTTCAGCATTATTCACAAGTATTCTGAAAAGATTAAGCTTCTCTATTCCAAATATTATTTTAAAACACTGCTTTCCTAAACTTTCAGAAAGTTTGCTACGTCCCCCCAAAAAGACAGAAAGGGAAATGAAGACGAGTCGTGGGAATTTATTTCGCCAAGACTAATAGGTAAAACTTATCAAAAACTCATTTAAAGTCCTTTCTAAAATTTTCTCTTATACGTTTAAAGATATATTTGCTTCATTTAAGTTAACATAAAATTTTGTACCAAAAGAATCTTAGAAAACTTACCTAACCTTATTACAAAAACTGCAATTTAATTTAGCCTAATCCAACAAAATATATTATAGATAAGATTGCAATATTTTAATAATAAACGATCACAAAGAAATATATTTTTTTCGTTAGGTTCAGAATGATTTTCGCGAAATTATTGCATACACAAATTTTAGCTGCTTAAAGGCAAAAAAGGGATTAAAATATATATAATATATACATTTGGGCCCCGCCTTACGATATTAATCCTTCATGAGAGCTCATGTAAGACGAAATTATCGTATGGCGAATTAATTTTCCCTATAAGAAATAATGGAAATCAAATTAATCCGTGCAAGACACTACAAAGTATAAAAAAAATTTACCACATGAAATATTAATTTTAATACACACAAACTTAAGAAGGCATGCACTAAGAATACAATACATGACACTTACCTTTATTGAAGATCTGGTGATGATTGATGGGATGGGAGTGTGGAAGTTGTTATTGTTTAGAAGGGGAATCCCCTTCCATTAGGACTTGAGGTATCAAGTCCTTTTCCGGGGTTACTTCCCTTCTTCTTTTAATGCCACTAGGACCAGCTTGAGAGTCACTGGACCTCTGTCGCACAACATATCTGTCCACAGAGGTCTGTACCTCCCATTCCTTTAAGACTTTCCTAAAATGGGCCATAACATTGTCATTGTAATAGTCACCAGAACGGCTTGCAGTAGCTGTGTCAGTGATTTTCATCCACAAAGGTTTGCAGTTCAACCCACTTTGCACACATTTCCTTAATCTTTGAAGTAGGCAACTTCCTCAATTTCTCATTGGCCAAGCCAGTGATGATCCTTTTCAAATCACTTGTTCTCTCTAGGCTGGAATACTGCTGTACATTAACATCTCCATTCAAAGCAGGTGAAATTGCAGATCTAGAGAGTGTACAGAGATCCTTTACTGCACGTATAAGTTCTGTAAAGCACCTTAACTACTGGGAACGCTTGGAAGCACTTGACTTGTACTCGTTGGAATGCAGGAGGGAGAGATATATCATAATCTACACTTGGAAAATCTTGGAAGGAATGGTCCCAAATCTGCACACAGAAATCACTCCCTACGAAAGTAAAAGACTGGGCAGGCGATGCAAAATGCCCCCAATAAAAAGTAGGGGTGCCATTGGTACACTAAGGGAAAACACCATAAGTGTCCAGGGCCCAAGACTGTTCAACAGCCTCCCATCAAGCATTAGGGGAATTACCAATAAACTCCTGGCTGCCTTCAAGAGAGAGCTGGACAGATACCTAAAGTCAGTGCAGGATCAGCCGGGCTGTGGCTCGTACGTTGGACTGTGTGCGGCCAGCAGTAACAGCCTAGTTGATCAGGCCCTGATCCATCGGGAGGGCTGGTCATGGACCGGGCCGCGGGGGCGTTGATCCCCGGAATAACCTCCAGGTACCTCCTCTGAAGCAGGTTCCTCATGCCTGGCCTCTTGTTGTTGAAGATGATCTAGCAGCTCATCAGTGGTTAGTTCTTCATTGTCCTCCTCCACCAACTCTTCCACATCCTCCCCACTAACCTCCAACCCCAAGGACTTCCCCAATGCCACAATGGATTCCTCAACTGGCATACGCTTCTCAGGGTTAGCCTCAAATCCTTCAAAATCCCTTTTGTCTGCACATTCTGGCCACAGTTTCTTCCAAGCAGAGTTCAAGATCCTCTTAGTCACTTCCTCCCCAGCCTTACCTATAAGGTTTACACAACTGAGGATACTAAAGTGATCTTTCCAAAACTCTCTTAGAGTCAATCGAGTTTCTGTGGTCACTACAAAGCACTTTTGAAACATAGCTTTTGTGTAGAGTTTTTTGAAGTTTGAAATGACCTGCTGGTCCATGGGCTGCAGGAGAGGAGTGGTATTAGGAGGTAAAAACTTGACCTTAATGAAGCTCATGTCCCCAGAAAGTCGCTCTGCCAAGTCTGTAGGATGACCAGGAGCATTGTCTAATACCAGGAGGCACTTAAGGTCCAATTTATTTTCCATTAGGTAATTTTTCACAGTGGAGGCAAATGCATGGTGTAACCAGTCACAGAAAAAGCCCCTAGTGACCCATGCCTTACTGTTTGCCCTCCACATCACACACAAATTAGCTTTGAGGACATTGTTTTTCCTGAACACTCTGGGAGTTTCAGAGGAATACACCAATAAAGGCTTCACTTTGCAATCACCACTAGCATTAGCACACATCAAGAGAGTAAGCCTGTCTTTCATAGGCTTATGTCCTGGGAGTGCCTTTTCCTCCTGAGTAATGTAGGTCCTGTTTGGCATTTTCTTCCAAAACAGGCCTGTTTCGTCACAATTAAACACTTGTTCAGGTTTCAGTTCTTCACTGTCTATGTAATCCTTGAACTCCTTCACATATTTTTCAGCCGCTTTTTGGTCCAAACTGGCAGCCTCACCATGTTTTATCACACTATGTATGCCACTACGATTCTTAAATCTCTCAAACCAACCTTTGCTGGCGTTAGTTGCAGGCATTTTTATAATTAAATCGTCATGCAACTTCCTAGCCTTTTCACATACGATCCCTTGAGAGATGCTATCTCCTGCTATCTGTTTTTCGTTTTTTTTTTTATTATCACACAAGCACCTAAAGTCAGTTCCTGATCAGCCGGGCTGTGGCTCGTACGTTGGTTTGCGTGCAGCCAGCAGCAACAGCCTGGTTGATCAGGCGCTGATCCACCAAGAGGCCTGGTCACAGACCGGGCCGCGGGGGCGTTGACCCCCGGAACTCTCTCCAGGTAAACTCCAGGTAAACACCGGCCGATTCCCACCAAGGCAGGGTGGTCCGAAAAAGAAAAACTTTCACCATCATTTACTCCATCACTGTCTTGCCAGAAGGATGCTTTACACTACAGTTATAAAACTGCAACATTAACACCCCTCCTTCAGAGTGCAGGCACTGTACTTCCCATCTCCAGGACTCAAGTCCGGCCTGCCGGTTTCCCTGAATCCCTTCATATATGTTACTTTCCTCACACTCCAACAGCACGTCATGTATTAAAAACCATTTGTCTCCATTCACTCCTATCAAACACGCTCATGCATGCTTGCTGGAAATCTAGGCCCCTCGCACACAAAACTTCCTTTACCCCCTCCCTCCAACCTTTCCTAGGCTGACCCCTACCCCGCCTTCCTTCCACTACAGACTGATACACTCTTAAAGTAATTCTGTTTCGCTCCATTCTCTCTACATGTCCGAACCACCTCAACAACCCTTCCTCAGCCCTCTGGACAACAGTTTTGGTAATCCCGCACCTCCTCCTAACTTCCAAACTACGAATTCTCTGCATTATATTCACACCACACATTGCCCTCAGACATGACATCTCCACTGCCTCCAGCCTTCTCCTCGCTGCAACATTCATCACCCATGCTTCACACCCATATAAGAGCGTTGGTAAAACTATACTCTCATACATTCCCCTCTTTGCCAGTGTTTACAAGCCAGCCAGTGCAGTCGCATCCAATTCAAATTCAAATTCAAAGTTTATTCTCTATAAGGATTACAATGCTGAGTTTACAGAAATTTGGTTATTGTTTGGTTTAACATGTGTAAAATTGTGATTACAGAGTGTACCACTAGAACGCTTAGCATGGCTAGGCATTTCGGGCATATTAGTTTTATTCTTAATTGTAAAATATTACAAAATATTACAAATTATGAGGTAAGTTGGTATTATGGCTAAGTGACTAAATACTAGTTTGTGAGTTTAGCAATGTGAATGCTTTTGTTTTGGCACAGTATATAGTTTCAGTATTGGAGTATCACAGGATTCATTATTTTAAGACTGAGATTAATATTTCTGTTTATGGTCAAATGAGTGAGCATACATTCGGTACATGTCATATTATCACAGTGTTTTTAGTGATTGTACCTGCAAAATAAGTCACCATGGGCCCCAAGAAAGCTTCTAGTGCTAACCCTGCGGGAAAAAAGGGTGAACAATCCAAATGAATTCTTTATGAACGAAACTCGTGGAACTCAGTGTTCATCAAGAACCGCAAGAAGTCCCTATCGCGTGCCTTCAGCATTTTATGGAGAGGGAGCATGGATACAGGGGCCATCCCACACACACTAAAAACAATAGACATAGCCCTACTCTACAAAGGTGGCAGTAAAGAAATTGCAAAGAACTACAGACTGATAGCACTAACATAAAAATCTTTGAGAGGGTTCTAAGAAGCAAAATAGCCAACCTCCTAGAGACCCATCAGTTACACAACCCAGGGCAACACGGGTTTGGAGCAGGTCACTCCTGTCTGTCCCAGCTACTGGACCACTATGACAAGGTCCTGGATGCTGTAGAGGATAAACAAAATACAGATGTAATATACACAGACTTTGCAAAAGCTTTCGACAAGTGTGACCATGGTGTAATAGCGCACAAAATGCGGGATAAAGGAATAACGGGAAAAGTTGGTAAATGGATCTACAACTTCCTGACAAACAGAACACAAAAAGTAGTAGTCAACAGAGTAAAGTCCCAGACAGCCATGGTAAAAAGGTGTTCCACAAGTTACTGTACTCGCTCCCATTCTATTCCTCATCCTCATTTCTGACATAGAGATGTCAGCCATAGCTCCATGTCTTCCTTTATGGATGACACCTGGATCACCATGACAGTGACCTCCATCGAAGACACTGCAAGACTCCAAGCGGACATCAACCAAATCTTTAAATGGGCCACTCAGAACAATATGAAGTTCAGCAAGGAGAAATTTCAACTACTCAGATATGGAAAACTTGAAGAAATTAAAAATGTGTCAGGGTATACCACAAATTCTAACCTTACAAGAGAGCGGAAAAGTAATGTGAAGGACCTGGGAGTGATAATGTCTGAGGATCTTGCC